TATTAATACTTATAAGATTGGTACTAATTACCATTATTCCTATTAATTCCCATGCCTTTCCACACCCTCTAAATAGGTTTTTTGGGTCTATCTCTGTTGAGGTGGCTGACCCTGAGATAGGTTTGCCTCTCAAGTGCCAAGAAGACAAAGTTTTGGTCTAGAGATATCTGCAAACCACTTTAGCTCCAATTTCTTCTCTTCGCATTGCTGATTTTTTCAGCACCCTGGATCCCAAAGTTTTATCTCTGGTTTTATTCACTGGAGAGTGAAGATGGAAGCTACTTTTCCATTCTTCTGGTGATATTTGTGGCTGAAAAAAAGAAACCCCACTCTAAAATTGCTCTTTTATTGAATGGGAGGGGAAAGGGGAAAGATATACCAGAGAAACAGAAATAGAGGCAGCAGACCTAGCCTTCTTTGTTTGTCCCAGTTCTCTCCTTCCTCTAACATCCCCCACTCCTTTACTCCTCCAGCAGAGTTTCTATAAAGATAAAGGGAAATAACTGGGTCCTAGAAGGTCATGTCACATTTCATTCTTCTGTCTACAATTCCCGCAGCTAGCTAAACCATTCAGTGAACAGAACACTGAACATGGAGTTAGGAAGTCCTAAGTTTCAACAGACATTCTCTATGCTACTCTGGGCAAGTCATTTAGCCTTTGTTTGCTTCAGTTTCCTTATCTGTAAAATGGATATTATAATAGCACCTATCTCCCAGGGTGGTTGTGAGGGTAATATTTGTAAAGTGCTTCATAAACCCTAAAGACATAGAAATGCTATTTCTTCCTTTCATCTTTTCATTTCCTTCACAGGAAAGTGTGACTTTGTCTTTGTCTATTAAATTTTATCATCTAGAGTATACATTTCAACAAAAATGTATCTTCCTCTAGAAGGTTAAATAGATGATATTTTATCACAACTTTTATTAAAAATGTAGGGAAAGTGCACTTTTGGATACCAATTTATAGTTTCTAGGACCTCTCTCTTAGTTACTGAAAATTGAAAGTAAAATTCTGGGGTTTTTCCCCTAGAAAATACACTGATTTATTTAAACTGTCTGCCCCATCACCAGAAGAGTTTTAATTTTTGTGCCTTCTGTTTTATATTTGGTGGGGGGTGGTAGTTTCTTTTTTTTGTTGTTGTTGTTTCTTTTACATATAATGCTTCACACTCTTGCTGTAAAGATCAAGAAAATTTTTTAAAAATTTAATACCTATTAAGTTTCAGAATGCCCTTGAAAAATGATCTTTACTATAAAGCTACATTATACACATAGACAAAACCTTATTAGTAAAACCTTGTTACATGAGCACTGGGCTTAGCAGGGTTATGAGAAAAAGAATAACTCATATTGACCACCAAGGCAATAGTGAATGAATGAAAAAGCATACATAAAATGCTTACTATAGTGTGTGCCCTAGGTCTAGGAGTATCACTTCAAACTCTCACTAACCAAAATTTTGCAAAGGGTACTCTGCTCCAGCCTATTGCTTACAAAAGGTCTCACTCTGGGTCCTACTAGAGAGACAAAAGGTCTCACTCTGAGTCCTACTTGAGAGGCATGGGAGGCATTCCTTTTATGGATACCCCACCTCCCAACACTCTAAGTACTAATTCACTATTTAGCTAGACCTATGCCACAGGCCCATTAGAAAACTATTTATGCTGTCCCTTCAGGTGTATCCTTTATTTCTCTTTAACTTGATCGTTTTGACTATTTTCATGGGCTCTCTATGTTCTCTAACTGAAGCCTCCTTTCCAATAATTTCCTTCCCCTTCCCCAGCCTCTCCCTTTTGTCTTCATCTTTTGTTCCTTATCTTTTCTTTTTACACCTTCAGTTTCCCTTATCGTAGTAACCATCTCTGCTTATTTTACCTGCCTTTCCAGAAATTCAAAACTCTTAGTAAGATTTTGGTCTTGCCAGCTAAAGTTATCTGTCTTCCTATACAAGCCAGGGTGGCTCAGGTATTTATTTGTTTATTTTTGAACGCCAGGAGGGAAAAGAATTGAGGAACTGAGGGAGGATATCAACAGGTAAACAGTAGTAGAATTGGGATTAGAACTGAGGAATTTTTAGGTAGTCAGCTGGATACACATTAACTTAGTATGTTTGGGACAGCCATCTGGGCACACATTATCTTAGCATATTGTCTTTCTTAAGGGCTAAGACAAAAATTGCCTTCTCCTTTGTCGTGGGGAAGTGAATAGATTGTTGTTACAAATGGTAGTAATATCAACTTCTTTAGGAAGAAGTTACTTTGGGACTGGCTGATTAGGTATATCAGAATAAAGTCTTCATCCTACAATCCCACGCCTTCTTAGGGTCTTGTTGACCTTTCATCTGAGTTTGACCAGAGGCAGAGTGCAGTGGGAAAGCACAAATAAGTTGTGGGTAATGGGATGGAATGAAGACTTTCCTTCTGAGTCAAAGTTGCCTCCCTATTCATCTGACTTGAGGGAGGGGGAGTTTTAGGAATCAGAATATTGGGACTTTGCCACGGAACCCAATGACATGTATTGTTCTAGCTAAGGATTCACTTGCCAATATCTGTTGCATCACCAGACAGTATATAACTCTGAGACTAAAGCATGACAGTCCACCTCCTAACAGGCTCTGTACCTAGTTTTGGAAGATTCATGCCCCAGAATCTTTGCTGGGATATTTCCATCCCGCTTTCTCCTTAGAATTTACCATAGTTTTCTTTCACTTCTTCTAAACCACTAGATGGTGTTCCTATTGTGCAGAAGTATATGAATATTCTACTCTATTCCAATGGAAAGGCCCACACAAACTAAAAGTTGAAAACAGTGTAGCCAGAATCAAACCACCATAGTGAAGTCAAAGCATTTTTAGTGACTTTCTCCTGTAATTTGAATTAACCATGCAATCACGAAATGTTTATTGAATAATTTTTATGGGTAAGACAGTGCTAGGTGCTGCAGGTAGTGGTAAAGATCAGAGACATAATCCCTGCCATCAATCATGTTGAGGAGATAGAACATATTCTTAAAAGAAAAAGAGGACGAGGAGAAGGAGTTGAGCATAGACTGAGAGAATTCCCTGCAGATTGGACAGGAGGGAAAAGGGTGATGAAGGACACAGGAGAAATACCATAAACAAGTTAATGGAGATTGTAGGGAAGAAGTGATAAGGTTGGAGAAGTAGTTTTGGGCCAGATAGTACAAAACCTCAACGAGTTTGGGTTTCATTTGGTACACAATGATAAGCCATTGTCTCTCCAGAAAAAGAAAAAAATGAGGTGATCCAGAACAATTAGGAGGGGGAGACTCCAGATTTTCTGCCTGTCTGAGGAGGGCAAAAATTCAAACAAGCTAGATTACATTTTTTACCCGCACTCCCAATTCAAAATGTCACTCAGCTGCCAAAATATCCAACAGGTTTAGAATGCAATCATAACAATGCTAATGACAATTCATTTTTATATAGGCTTTGCAATTTAAATTTTCCTCATAACAATTAAATATCTCTTCCTTTTTAAATTTAAATTAATTTTTTTCATTCAACACTTTTTCTCTCTCTCTCTTTCTCTGTCTGTCTCTCTGTCTGTCTGTCTGTCTGTCTCTCTCTCCTGCCTTCTTTCTCCATTGAGAAAGAAAAGGCCTTTGTTCCAAATGTGTATTGCAAAACAAATTCCCCCTTTAGCCAAGGCTCCCCCCACCCTTTTGTCTCAATCAGCACTCTGAATCCATCACCTCTCCATCTGGAGGTATGTAGCTTGTTTCATCATTAGTCCTCTTGAATAATGGTTGGTCATGCGTTGATCAAAGTTTTAAAGTTTTTCAAAGCTAGCAGTAATGTTATTGTAGAAGCTTTCTGCTCATCTACTCACTTTACTCTGCAACAGTTCATACAAGTCTTCTCCTTATAGTACAAAAGTCTTCCATTCTATTCATTTACCATAACTTGTTCTGCCATTCCCCAGTTAAAGGACACCCAAGATCCTTTCCTTTTGAACTCATTTTTCAACTAACAAGCATATTTTTTTCAATTTTATTAAGTTTCAATTAATTAATTTTAAATTAATAAACATGTGTTTTCTATCCACCATTGGAAATAAAAAGCAGCCTTGTAACAATAGTTACATATAGTTAAGCAAAACAAATTATCAAGTTATCCACGTAAAATATGTATATCTCATTCTGCATCTCGAGTCTATTGCCTCTGTCAGGATTGGTGGATAACAGTTCATCAAGTTTCTGGTAATCATAAGGGGTCTTTTTTTGTCTTTATAATGCTGTTACTATTGTTCTGATTCTTTTTACTTCCGTCTGCATTGGTTCATAAAAATCATAGGCCATAATTTACTCATTCATTCCTCAATTAATGATACCCCTTTAGTCTCTAGTTCCTTGCCACTACAAAAACAGCAGCTATATTTTTTTAATGAGTCCTTTTAAAAATAAACTTTGATATCTTTTGTTTTTGCTTTGCCTCGATTTTTTCCCCTTGTATCCTTTCCCCTCCCCCACATATAACAAAGAATATTTTTATATGGATCATTTTTCAAAGGTCTCTTCCAACTCTAAATATGTGATCCTAGAAATCTTATGAAGTAAATAGTCTTAAGTATCATCCTCATTTTACAGATGGGCAAACTGAAGCAAGCCCACAAAGGTTAGGTGACTTGCCCCAAATCAAAAAGATATATGAGCCAGACAGGAATTTGAACCAAGGTTTTCTGAATCCCAGTTCAGCATGTTTCCATTATAAAGTCCTTCCCTCTTCTTAAGGCACCTTTAAACCTTGCTCTCAATATTAACTTTCTGTGTAAAATGGCTTTCCTTACCTTACTCAAAGAGGTGATTTTGTATGAACAGTCTAGGGTGGGAGCTAGAGCCAAAATAATTTGCCCTCCCTTACTTTTTTAAGCATCTGAACGTCTGTGAAACAGAAAAATTTCGGCCTTTTGAGAGGGGGTTGGGGTGGGGATAAAAAAGGGCGGGGATGGGAAGGATGTGGCTTAAAGAGGGGAGGGAGTTATTGCTTTGCTAGGTGGGGGCTCGTCTGAAGTCACTGAATTCCGAGAGGTCACAAGATTATCCTGGGATGGGAAGGACAGGTCATCCCCCACACTGGCCCCACCCCTTGCCAAAATTATAAATAGTTGGCTGGAGAAGGGCCCCCCCCAATCACAGATGCTCTTCCAGTGAAGGACTGAACTTTACCCTCTGTGGCCGAAGACAGCTTGCGTGCGCCTTGGAGACCGCCTCTTAGGCTTTTCAGGAGGGGAGGCTTCTGGCTCCAGCTCCTTCGGCTTCACTACTAAGGATTTGTAAGGAATTCGGCCGGAGCCATGTCATCAGTCAAGGTAAGGATCGTGCTATTCCGCTGTTCCTGTGTATATCAAGTGTGTTGGAAAGGAGAAGGCTGGGGCGGCGGGGGTGGGGGGGGGCGGAGGGGAGGGAGGAAGAATGATGCTTGCAGGCATATGTTGCTCCCGACTCGTGCTGTACCATCTTAAAGGCCTTAAAAAAACCCCCCCCCCCCCCGCCCTGGTATGTCTCCATGCGTCTCTCGGGATGGGAGCTTGAAGGGATTTCTGCCTCTTCGACCTGTTTTCTTGCAGGGATCGGGCTGCGATGCACTGCCCTTTCTTCGCTGGCTTTCTTTACTGTAAGACCCGAGACCGGGCCAGGCAAGAATGATGCCTAGGCAGGGAATGTGCAGAGGGGGTTCGGGGGTGGATGGAGGAAAGGCGGCTCATATGTTATGGGTTAGGTTTTCCTAACCTAGCCTTGAGTGTGTGCCCGGATGGCAGGCAGTCTGAATGTCATGCTTGGCCCCTAGGCTCTTGGAAGCTGTGATTCTTGATGGGAATAGCCTCCTGTTCCTGCAATCATAGCTCCCTGGAACTCCTGGAAGACTTCCTTGGAAAAAAAACAAATTTCCAGCTGCCCCCTATAATGCAGAAGAAACTGAGAAACCGTAAACACCTTAGTGTTTAAATGTATTGAAAGTGTGTGATCGCAGGAGAGGATTGGGGGCGGCGGAGAGGGGTAGTATCGGAGAGGTCGATAGTTAAGTAAGGAAGGAGCATATGAAAGGAGACGAAAAGAAAACATAGCTATTAACAGAAAAAGTAGTATCCTGCACCAGGATCACTCTCTCTTTTGGGTATTAGTGGGTGGGGTGTCCCTACCAAGGTCACCCCTCCCAGTTCTGGCCCCTAAGCTACTTCTGCAGAAAGTGGAGGGAGCTGGAGATAAGGACCCTTGAGGCAAAGGGTGGGGAGAGGTATGGTTGTAGTTCCTGGGAGAGGAAAAGGGATTGGTTATATCGCGGTGGAGACTCTAAGGGCAATAATATGTGGGCTTTCCCCAGGCTATGCTTGTTGAGTTTACTGGGTTGGGAGCCGAGTGGGTCCTCTTTTCACTGAGAGAAAAGCAGGACTCTTTAAAGATGGGGGAGGGGCGCAATTTTCTGCAAGATGTCTCATCTTAGGGACAGCTAGAGCTGGGATGGCTCTAGGGAATCTTAAAATGATGAGCCCACAGGAATTAGAGCTGTGCTTCCCCAGCAACCCCAGTTCTTGCTATTTCTGGTCATGTCCCTTTGTCTTTAACCGAGATCAGATTCCCAAAGGGTTAAAAGGTTGCTTAGCCTCACTGTTAATACCATTCCTTGACTGAGGGAGTATCAGCCCACCCCCCTCAAACTTCCCATCGTCCCCCCTTTCCAAAATAAGAAACAACTTTTTTTGGAAACTAGCTTTCTAGTTCTCCCATTACTTTTCACTAGTGATATACTGTGCATTCCCAATTCAGATTTTCCGGTGTAACTTCAAGCCTGAACATAGTAGGTTCTTAACAAGGCTGATGATTGAACTTGCCCCTTACTGTCTCCACTTTACCCATTTGCCATATACTCCTAGAGCACTCTTATCCAAGTTGTTTTCTATAACTGGTTCCATCTTGAATGTGTGGTGCTTAATCAGCCAATCAACAAGCTTGTATTTTGCTAAGCGCTGGGGATACAGCTTGTGTATATGGAGGGACATACAAGGTCATCTTAGAAGGGAAAGCACTTAGCAGCTTCGGAGATCCGAGAAAGGCTTCCTGCAGTAGGTGGTATTTGAGCTGAATCTCAAGCCAGGGATTCTTAGGAATGAAGAGAGTGGTACACTGAGGGCATAAGTCAATTCAAAGGCTAAGAGATGGGGTCAATGGAGGGAGGTCGCGTGTAAAGAATAGCCAGTGTGGCTAGACCTTCAAGTACTTAGAGGAGAGGAATATGTAAGTAGAAAGGAAGGATAAGAAGGGCCCAGGTGGTGGAGAACTTTAATACAGCTTTATAGGCCTTCCTCTCTTCATCTTGACTCAGAGAGGGAAAATAATCAGGAGAGTGTTGTAAAAGATTTTGGTTTTTTTCCCCTACCCAGGTTACCTGCCCCCTCCTCTTTGCTGTTGGTGTAGCTGCTATAGGCTCTTTTCAGTTTGGCTACAACACTGGCGTCATTAATGCACCTGAGCAGGTAATAACCCTGGCACCTAGTAAATAGCATTAGTGAAGTCAATCCCCATTCCCTCCTTCCTAACTTTAAGGTTTCGGAGAGCTCAGTATTGGGTGGGGGGAGAGGGGTGTAGTGAGAGAGAGGTGTGGGGGGTGGGGAGGCACAAGACCTCAGATTCACAGTGAGGAAGGAGGAAGAACAATCTTAGTAGTTCTTGCAGAGTCATTTGGACCAAGGCAAAATTATTCATTTGTTTGCTTAACTTTAGACAGCAACCATGTACTCTTAGTCTATGGTGAATCACCACCATGTCCTTCAACCCATAAGGAAGAAAAAGAGTTTACAGCAGCTCTCCAGTGCTGCCACCTGCTTAAAGCCTGTTATGTAGACTGAAAAGTAGAGCACATAGGAAACAAGCCTGAAGGTCCTAGTCGCAGCCTTACTTCCAGCTTTTTTTTTTAAACCCTATGTCTTTGGGGAAAATTGCTTAGGTTTTGCTACCTATTAAAGCAGGAAAATTACAGATTTTACCCTACTCCTCCCCCACCTGCTATAGCAAAATGGAATCCAGCCCATCATTTCTTGGTTTCTTTTACAGATCATTAAGGAATTTATCAATCACACTTTGAGTGTTAGGAACGGTGAGCCAGCCTCTGAGGTTCTACTCACCTCACTTTGGTCCTTGTCTGTGTCCATCTTCTCAGTGGGTGGAATGATTGGCTCTTTCTCTGTTGGACTCTTCGTCAACCGATTTGGCAGGTATTACTCAAATACAAAAAAAAAGGTCAGAAAGAATGGGTGAATGGGTTGCTATAAGGTAAAAGGGCTAGCTGATGTTACTTAATTGGTTAATCCAAAAACATGTGGATTAAAGACAGCATTTCTGAAAAGGAGCCAGCATTAGGCTTGACCACAATCAAGCCTCATTGACTTAACTCTAGAGAATAGTTAATCGTCATTGACATTTATTACCTCATTTCAACTTTCCAAGAACCCTTTGAAATAAATACAGATTAGTTTAAGCCATTTTCTCAGATGAGGAAATTGAGGCTCAACCCACATGATTTACCTGAAAGTCACACAACTAGTTAAGTTTTAGAGGCAAGATTATCTCTTGGTTCCAAGTCTGTAACTGCACTGTAAAGACATAGTTTTCATCCTGGTCTATTTGGAACTGCTTGGAATATTTTATATTTGCCTTCATATCCTGAGTCAGGCTTATTTCTGTATTGTTTAGCATATAGACCAACTATGGTGTTTTCCGTGAGAATTTGGTTTCTATAATAGTTAACATTTATAGAGTACTTGCTGTGTGCCAGGCACTGCTAAATACTTTACAATTATATTATCCCCATTTTACGGATGAGGAAACTTGAGGTAGGGGTTAAGTGACTTACCCAGGGTTTCCCAGCTAGTAAGTGTCTGAGGCTGGATTTGAACTAAGATTTTCCTAACTCCAGGACCAGTGATCACTGTGCCACCTAATTGCCTATCATTTCTCTCAGTGTGAGTAGGTGGCTTACTCCTTAAGACCTATTTCCTTTCATTTTCTGTTGGGCCTTCCTCTGGTCTTTAAGAACATGTGTTTCCCTCTCTCCAGATCACTCTTAGACAGCCTTATAACAAAGAATTTAAAGGAGGGGGGGAGAGCAGTCCAACAAAACCTAAAAAATGGTCTGGCATTAAATGCAATGCTCCACACATAGTGTTGCCTTCTTTCTCATCTCTCCTTAGGGGCTAAGCTTGGTCATTATAGCTTCACAGCATCCTTTTTTGGTTATGTACTTTATTTTGATGTGGCAGTCATTACTTATCTTTCCTTAGCACTATTTTCCCATACTTTTGGGGTAATTGTATTCCTTGTTCTTATAGAACATTAACTAATAATTCAATTACATTCACATACTTATTTGTCTTTATTATTACAAAAAAAGTACTTCTATAATTATTTTGGTGTATAAGGAAGCCTTTTTATCATTGTTGACCTTGGGGCATACACCAAGTGGTGGCATCTCTAGATTAAAGGAAATAGACATTTTGGTCACCTTAGCTTAGCATAATTCCAAATTGCTTTCCAGAATGGTGGGACCAATTAATTCACAGCTCTGTTAACAGTGCTTTAGTATATCTGTTTTTCCTCAACCCTGCCAACACTGATTGGTCCCATCATTTGTCACTGTAGCTAATTTCTCAGGTAAAGTTAATTTGGTTTTGCGTTATTAGTGACTGGAGCATTCTTTCACTCAGTGTGGTTGTTAATGGTTTGGGATTCTTTTCACACCTTTTAACCACTTATCTATTGGGAAATGGCTTTTGATCTTATATATTTCTTTTAGTTGTGCATGTACCTCATTGATTCCTTTACATTATTTCCATAACCTGTTCCTTACCACATTCTTAAAGGAAATACTTACTTTCAACCAGCTTTAGAGGGGAGAAAGTATAGACGAAATGGTGGTCCTTTTGGTCCTCTATTTTTAGGCGTATAATTACCATGATCCCCATTTTACAAAGGAAGAAACTGGGCTTAATGAGGGAATATGATTTGTCTGCAGTCAAATGTATAAGAATCTGGGGCTCCATCTAAGTCTTACTTTCACTATCTCTCAGAGCAGAGCCATTTGGTAATATCTTTTCTTTGCTTTTGCCCAATAAGGCTTATGATCTAAGATTAGGCAGAAGATGGAAAATGTTATCAGTTGCCATCTTAGGCTTGGCTAATACTATGCCTTACCAAACAAGCTACTTCAGTAGAGGAACTGAAGGGGCCAGTTTACAAATTGGAAGGGGAATTCTTTTTGAACAATCCATAATCTGTCTATTGATTGCCCAGTCTTTGGCCTAGTCATACGAATGAGAAAGACTCTTAATGCAGAGAAGAGGTTAAAGAGAATGAGATAAAAAAGGGACAAAAAGTGAGGGGAAGGAATGAGGACAAAAGAATCAAAAAAACACAGGAAATATATGGAGGAAATAAACTAAGGAAACTCAGAGGCAGACAGTACAAATAGGAGAGAAAGCAAAACAAAGGGCTAGACAAACCATACTTACAGTTATCTCCTTCCTTCTATAGACGCAACTCCATGCTCATTGTCAATTCACTAGCACTTGTTGGAGGTGCCTTCTTGGGCTTCTCAAAGTCTGCAGGGTCAGTGGAGATGCTGATTCTGGGCCGTTTGATCATTGGCCTCTTCTGTGGACTTAGCACTGGCTTTGTACCCATATATATTGGAGAGGTCTCCCCAACTGAACTTCGTGGAGCCTTTGGTACCCTGCACCAGCTGGGTGTTGTTGTGGGGATCCTCGTTGCCCAGGTATTCCTTACGTTCTCATTTTAACTGGGTGGAAGTGGGTGAGGGAGGGTACAAGGGACCTTATTTTTACGCTTTCAGTTTTGTGCCCTGGCAGGACCAGAGGCACTGAGAGAAACCAGTGTTCCTCAAATAGATTCATGTTGACTAATAATGACTGGCTTGTTTCATTATTGATACTGACAAGGCCTGATGAGTTATTAGTTTGTTATTAAATCTGGGAAGGTAAAGCTTTTTTTTGTGTGTGATTTAAGATCTTGGGCTAACATGGCTAATGAAAGTAGAGTAAAGAAGATTTTAAAAGAATAGATTGTACCTTTCACTATAGGAAAAGGATTTTTAAATAAGTAAACTGTAACTATTCAATTTCACCAGAAAACATTGAGAGCTTTGAATGTGTACTTTAAAAGGTTCCTTGGACTATATAACTTAGTTCATGTTTTTGGATCCTTAGATATTTGGATTAAATTACATCATGGGAACTGAGACTCTCTGGCCATTGTTATTAGGCTTTACCATCATCCCTACTGTTCTGCAAAGTATAGCCCTCCCGTTGTGCCCTGAAAGCCCCAGATTCCTACTTATCAATAAGAAGGAAGAGGAGCAGGCCCAAAAGAGTAAGTACTAAGGAATATCTTTGAGGTAATAACACCAGGAACCAGCATGCATGACCTGAGACTGTCTACCTCCTATCCTCCCTCCAGAGTAGTTTCTTTAAATTACAAGTTTTGGGAAGATCCCAACTTAGTGACACCCCTAAAACATGAGAAGATGGAATTGGGCCAGAACACTTGATCTTGATATGCCTGATATCTTCCCATTCCACCCTTTAGAAAAATGAATTTGGAGAAGCTAATTTATTCCCTCTTCCTATTTCCAGTTCTTGAGAAATTATGGGGCACTCAAGACGTAGGCCAGGATATCCAGGAGATGAAGAATGAGAGTGCTAAAATGGCACAAGAAAAGAAACCAACTGTGCTAGACCTCTTTAGGACACCAAATTATAGACAACCTATTATCATTGCCATCATGCTCCAGTTTTCTCAACAGCTCTCTGGAATTAATGCTGTGAGTACCTAAATTCATCAATTACTTGTATTAATGTCATAGTTTTTCTGGTTCATTCTTTCTCTTTATTGATGTTAATGATAATAATTGATAGTAGTGACTGACTGTAGGTGTTATCCTCAGTTTCCAGATGAGGAAACTTGGTCTCAGGATAATTGACTCACTCCCTGGCTGTAGGGTTATCACTGTGGCTCTCTGCCTCTTATTCTTCCTGTTCTGTCTGGCCATTTCCTTCCTAACCCTCTGGAATGCTTTTCCAGTACAAAAAATAGGTTCACAGAGTAGGCTGTGTCCTTCCTAGTGGGAGAAGGACCGTTCCTGTGATAGGCCTCAATGGGAGGTAGCTTTTATCTGTTCTCTTTATAAGCATTAATTAAACTTTTAAGTTGAGTACCCTATACTATGTAGGGCAGGGAAAGAAGGAAGGCTAGGGGGACTTTTTAAAAAAATACAAGTCAAGGACTTGTATTTTGAGGACCAGAATGGAAATCCAACCAGGGTACTTAAGTGATAATGACATTGTAATTATTTTTAAAACTTTTTGTTTTGCCTTAAATTTTTATACAAGTCATTTCCTCTTAGCAAGTCACTTCCTCTTAACTCACCTCCTGCCTTCCCTTTTAACAAAGAAAAGCATTAAACAAAAACCACACTGCAACCAAGGCATTCCCTTATGATTCTGTTGAGTTGAGGCATGTGTGTTTCATTATCAGTTCTCCTGGACTAGGACTGAGATTATGCTTTACAATTCAAGAGAACTGCTTTTTAATACTGTTATTTACGTTATCGTTGTCATTGTCCATATTCAATAAGTTCTTTCTTTCTCTCATTTCCATATGAAGTTCAAGCTATCATAGCTTATACAATATTATATAATAACTTTGACAACAGGAAGACACTGAGGCAGAGACTAAATAAGTGTATTTGCTAATTGGTTCTTTAGATGCTTGTTAGGATAATAGTACAGTGTTCTTTAAGTCTTTCACTGAAGTGCTGATGGATATTTGAGTCATTTTTAATGAGGATCATAACTTCAATTGGTCTATTACTTTACCATTTAGAAGACTGTCATTTAGTAGCAGTACATCAACAAAGAGTTCCTAATAATCATAAGGGTGGGATCATTAACAAGCAGATATTTGGTTATGGAAAACAATGTTTGTTCCAAAGACAAATGGGATTAAGTTACTTTGGGCTCTAGTTCTGGTTATACTGGTAACTGATTTTTGTACCTAAGGCAAAGCTCATTGTTCACTTAATGGTACCTTCCAGTTTACTTGGCGTTATTTTGAAGCTCAAATAAAAAGTAATTGTGAAAGCAATTTGTCTTAAGTGGGAAAACTATATAAATAAACCTATAGCCAAATTGGTAAAAAAAAAATTATCTCAGAAGGATGAAACTGAATTAAGGAAATAACACTGACATTTATCAGTATGAACACCCAGGATAAGTCCTTTGGATGGAGAGAAGATTGAGGGCTCAGGGGAAGGGGAATTGATTGTGAATTTATTGTTTAGAGATCACTGAAGTTTCCAGAGTCTTCTTTTCTAACTTGGTCACCTCCTTTTTCCCCCCCAATTAGGTATTCTATTATTCTACAGGAATCTTTACAGATGCTGGTGTTAAAGAGCCAGTATATGCTACCATTGGTGCTGGTGCGGTTAATGTGGTATTTACTGTAGTTTCGGTGAGTTGGACATTTTGAATTTGGGGGCAAGAAAAAAAAAGAGAAACTTCTGGGGTAGATGTTGAGGTTGGATTATATTGATCTTGGGGTTTTGTGCCATAGTTAAAATAAGAACTGAGGCATCAATGCCTTTGGGAGAAGGGCGTGGGGAATAAGTAAATTCTAGAGGTGAAGTGATTGAACAGAATAGAGATGACAGAAAAGAGATTTCAATATTGGAAAAATGTAATAAGGAAGAGGGAAGGGAAATAAAGGGTGAATATAACAGGATATAGCTGAATATTTAGAACCCAGCCTTAGAGGTAGGGAAGATAAGAATACCAAGCAGGGAGTCAAGCATATTGTGTAGGGTGTATTGAATTGGGGAATGCCAACAACTCCTGACCATAGAATATATTGAGTAGAAAGCATTGTTTTTAAGGAAGAGAAAAAGCAAAGGTTTCATTTGCATGTTATTCTCCTAGCTCTTCCTTGTGGAACGAGCAGGAAGGAGAACCCTTCATCTGGTAGGACTGGGTGGAATGACCGTGTGTACTGTTCTTATGGTTGTTTCCATGTCTCTCAAGGTGAGTGCTCTTTGTGAGAGGGAAAAGGGAAAACTTGGGTTGTCTTGCTTATATTATTCTCATTCTTAGCTTCTTGATATTCCTCATTTAGTCTACTCATTTGTGGATGAGCTATATCTGTATCGTGGCTACCTTTGGCTATGTGGCCCTCTTTGAAGTTGGGCCAGGACCCATTCCTTGGTTCATTGTTGCTGAGCTCTTCAGTCAAGGCCCCCGCCCAGCTGCTATGGCTGTGGCTGGCTGTTGCAACTGGACCTCTAACTTCCTTGTGGGTATGCTCTTCCCACATGCTGCGGTAAGTGAGCTCTCTCCTTATCAAATCTTGCTTGAAACTAGTGTTAGCTCATTTAGGATTAGATGAATGAGTTATGACTGTCTTGAGTAAGAATACAATACTACTTCAGGTACTTACTTCACTAGCTGGGTGGCCCGAGCACTTCTTGGTGTACCTCAGAGACCACTCTATTTATTCATATTATAAAAATAAAACCCAAATTACTCCCATCCCTAAATCCCAAAAGACATTTGAGGATAGGATTCATAAGGGACTGGGAATTGGTACAAAGGTAAATTTGGAGGGCTTAGGATTTTAGTCCCAAATCTGGTAAGGGTTCCCCACCCAGTCTGGATTTTCCAAAAAAAAAAAAAAAAATCGTGACTATCATTATTACCATAGAGGAGGAGGCCTGGTTCTTGGTCTGAGAATAAACTTTGACTGACTTTGTTTTTTTCCCTTCTTTAGAAATATTTGGGATCCTACGTCTTTATTGTCTTTACCTTTTTCCTCATCTTCTTCTTTTTGTTCACCTTCTTCAAAGTCCCGGAGACCAAGGGCAGAACTTTTGAGAATATTACCCAGGTCTTTGAAACCAAGAGTCAGGGTGCCATCAGCCCAACCTTAATGGCAGAGAAAGACCCCATTGTGGATGTGAACAGCATTGATCCAGCCAAGGAATCTTCAACCTCCGCCCTCTAAAAGCCCACCTTCCACACTTCTTCCAGTCTCCCAACATGGAAAAGCAACATCTCCCTGAGGTGGAAGGGCCCTCATCAGGATAGCTATAACCTAGGACTGTTTCTGATTGCTGCTACTGTTTCTTTTTCACCTTACTCCATGAGCACTGAGATGAACCTAGGGTTGGAGTCAACTCAGCTTCACTGGCTTTTAAACATTCAAAAATCTTGGTCACTGTCTGTACTCCGCTAAACAGAGATCAGGTGAACTTGCCCTCATTTCTGGAGGGATCGGCTCCTTGGCATTTGTGCCAGCCTTTGCCACGTCTTCATTTCCTTGGGTTCTAATGATGATTCATTGAGGTTCCTGGGAATCAGAAGAGTGGGTGTAATCTCATCCCAATAACTACGAGAGTAGTATGTAGGAGTTAGGGGTAGGAGAAAGGTTGGGGATCAAAATAGGAGAGAATCTTCCTCACTTTTTTTTTTAAACAACTCTGCAGAGTGCATTAACTTGAGTTTTTATTTATTTTATCTGCCGGTTTTATTTCATAATTATTTTTTTAGTGTAAAAAGAAAGAATTGTACAAAATAATAAACTGTTGAGGTCAGAGAGAAGAGAGAAGGGGTATAAATTTAAAGAACTGGAGGAGAAGTAGAAATTATTTTGGAGGAGTTGACATAATAAGGATTGAAGAAATACAGGGAGAGATAGAGTAGTGCATTAAAGGGCACGTGAAATGGTGCCGGAGGTTTTCACATGACCTGTAGCAATTTCTGTACTCCATGAAAATGATAAAAAACTTGAAAGAAGTCAGGCAGCATTTGTGATGCCTGCAAAAGCTACTGGTTTCCTTCGGGATTTTTTTTCCTTTTTTTTTTTTTTTTGTTTTTTGGTTAAGCTATATAATGTTACTTGGAAACTGTAATATTGTTGTCATCATAGGCAGCGAAGTTGAATGCGGTTGGTGGGTTCTACCTCTGGAGGAAGATGGATTTTCTAGATATTTCACTGAAAACTCCCCCTCTCACCAGATGGAACTCCTTTCACTTTATAGCTTTTATTTTTTTTTCCTTCCCTTTTGATGGGAAAATAGTGTTGTGGATTGTTTCTCAATTCAGAAAGGCAAACTTTTCCTTATTTTTGTTCTTTGGGATTTTCTTAGGTTTTGGGTGTCTTTGGTTTTTCCGACCCTTAAATCTCAATAGGCATTTGAGGACAAGATTTAAGGGGTGTTATTCATAGGGGCCTAGAAATTGGTATGGAGGTAGAATATGGGGCTAAGGGTTTTGTTTTGTTTTGGTTTGGTTTTTTGCCTGTACTTCCTCATTTCAAGTGAAGAAATGGTCATGGCTTCCTTGTAAATACGTGTTTACATCACTCTACTACAGAAGATTTGGATGAGGTAGAGAAGGCTCACTCAGAGTTCACATTTAATTTAGATAGTAACAATATATGTCTAATGTCATTGTCTCCTCCAGGGGCAAATGTGTCTTAACGGGTTCATGAATATATTATTGCTGTTATGATTTATATGTTACTATTCATTCCTTCTGGATGGGATAATTCTGGTAGTTTAAACAACTACTGCCTTGGCTGGATGTGATTTAGCCACCCTACCTTGAATCTTAAGTGCCCTGAGACAGACAGACAGCCAGACACACACACAACACACACACACAAACTCACACACACACACACATCCATACACACCTTCCACCTCCCTTGATGCTGGCTAAATTATATTCCAGTGAACCACCAATTAGAGTCCCTTGCTTAGGATGAAATAGCCTTTAGTGAGTTTTACCAGTTTAGGTGGAATGGGAAGGAAAGATGCTCTGAGTATTCAAGAGGTTCAGGATAGAGAGAAGGCTTGACCTATGTAGTCAAAATGGGTATGGAAGGGGGCAGTAAGCTTAGTAATTACCTGAATTGTAAAAGGAAGGGAAGATAACAAGATATCACTGCTGATGAAGTTAAGTATCTTTAAATCTATGGGCTTTCTTCTTCCAAAAACTTTTGAGGGGATTGCCTTTGGTGCTTACCTCCTCCTGACCCAACTTGCCTGTGGACAGTATTTAGTTCTCAATTCTCACCTTCCTCTGGTCATTGGCAGGGAGGATAGATATATATGTATATACGTATATGTGTACATATATGTGTATATATACAATAGTTGACTAAAGAAAACTTATTTGCTCTCTGGTTCTACCCTGTTTCTCCCTAGATCCCCAGGTAGAACTAGGGTCTGGGAATTGGCAATAGTAGAGCTTAACAGTTTCTCCCTCCCTTTTCTCCATAGCCACATTGTAAATATTTCCAAATGTATTTTCTATGCTTATTACTGTTACTGTGGTTCTGTTTTTAAATAAAAGTTTTATTGTAAATATGGTATCATAATCTTTGCATATTATTTGAAGGTTTGTGTGCCCTTTCTTTCGTGGGTTAAACCCAACCCAGAAGCCTAACATATGGGTATAGATATAGGTGATGGTATAATTTGTACTGATACCTTGTTTTTTACATCACCAAGATTGGGAAGAAACACAGAAAAAAGCTTAAGGCCTGAACAATAATTTTTTTTTTTTTTGGCTAGACAATGGGGTTAAGTGACCTGCTCAGGATCACACAGCTATTAAGTGTTATGTGTCTGAGGCCGGATTTGAACTCAGGTCCTCCTGACTCCAGGGCCAGTGTTCTATCCACTGCGCCACGTAGCTGCCCCTGAACAATAATTTTTTGTTTTATTTATTCGCTTTTTGGTGAGGCAGTGGGGAGTTAAGTGACTTGTCCAGGGTCACATAGCTGTCAAGTGTCTGAGACCGAATTTGAGCTCAGGTCCTCTTGACTCCAAGGCTGGAGCTCTATCCACTGTACCATCTAGCTGCCCCCTGAACAATAATGTTCAGTCAATATCTTAGACAAATATTCAGTTCAATATCTTTGGTACAGTTAGTTCTTGATGGTGTTAAGTGCAGAGAGAATTGAACTTGGGATCAGGAGTCCACATTTGGAATTCTGACTCTTAAGGCCTAGCTTTGGCACTTGGTAGTCATGTGATCGAGGAAAAGTCACTTGACCTCTTTATTTTTTTTCTTATTTAGTTTTTTATTTTTCCCCAATTACATGTAAAAATAATTTTTAACATTCACTCTTAAAACTCTGCGTTCCAAATTCTCTCCCTCTCCACTTCCCCCTCATTGAGAAGGCAAGCAATTCAATATAGATTGTACATGTATAGTCATGCAAAACATTTCCATAATAGTCATGCACCTGAATGGGCTGATATTTGTTATAGTGTCCTTCATAGGATTGTGAAGAAGATACTTTTTTAAATCGCAGATACAGTCAGTGGGCTAATGGATAGAAATCAGGAGACTTGACTCTGAATCATAGCTTAAAACATAAGAATGATACTTTCCTGGCCAAGGACCAAGTCTGCTGAGAATGTAATTGCAAATACAATCAGAAGGGCTTTTAAACTGAAAGGGAAGGAGAGAGGAAACTGCTTTCCTATCTAACACTGGTAACCTGCTGTTCTCAAGGGGCTGGGGCACTATGGCTGTTCTCTCCACAGAAAGGGACCCCTCTGCTCTGGACCCATGCACGTATGGCAGGCCAAGTTGAGTGCTTGGGAAGCCTGGCCTCTAATGAAAGGCGTTAAGCTCCCATTTCTCATATTTGTCTCCACACTGGTGTTCCTTGGAAAAATTACTTAAATATCAGGTTTGACTCATGTTATAGGGTCTCCACAAAAGAGGAGTGGAAAAGTATTCAATGGACGGTTATTTCCTAGATATAATAGAGTAAACCTTTTTTACGCACCTACTATGTGCCGGGCACTTTGTTAAATGGTGGGGATACAAATGAAAAGGAAAGACAGTCCCTGCCCTCAAAGAGCTTCCAATCTACTTGGGGTGGAAGACAACCCAAAAGGAAGCTGACAGGGGGAGGGAAAGCCAGAGGGCGCCTGATGACAGTGGGCCAAGCAGAGCAGCCGGTGATAAACCTAGAGGAGCCCTCTAAAGGGAAGCGATGTAGAGGCAGAAGCAACTGAGAGTACTGATTAGGGATGAGTAGTAAAACAGAAGTAATCTTCAAGATGATTTTATCCTTGGTAGGGCTTGGGAGATGATCGTGAAATCAAAACGAAACAATAACTGGTAGAGTTTAAGTGTCAAATGCAAATTTCCACATTGACAAAGACTTAAAACATGATTCAGAAACTTGGAACTGTTATATCCTCTTACAAGTTAAGACAAACCTCATCAGAACATAAAGCAGTTTGCAGGACTGCCAAATAAGAAATTCACAGTTACCCCTTCCACATCTAGACTTTCCCCATCATGGTTTCTATATATTGCAGGTATGCATAAGAAATTGGAGTTTTTGGAGAGTTTTGCAGAAGCCACAGACAACACAATACAACCCCGGGGGGGTTGGGGGGCGGGGGCACTGGAATGTTGGGGGGGGTCCAGGTGGTAGTAACCTCAGGTACAATTGGGGGGCCTTGAATAAAAATAAGTGTTAACCTAACAACCCCAGCAGGGCACTGAGTAATTTTTTTTTAAAAGTTGTGATAGGCCTAATAAGTTGGGAAACCTCTGAGTCATGAAGGCCAGCAGATGACACAGAAAAAATTTAGAAACTCAGAAATGCATAAAATATATGTATAGCATAATATCAACATTTTATGTTTTAATACCAGAATAATTCAGACTTCTCTGGTACGAAGGGTGGCCCCAAAATTTTTACTCAGATTTTCTAGATCCAAGGGGCACCGTGCCCTTAACCACCTACGTGTGGAAGGGATTATTGTATTTTGCCTAGACTCTTAACTGCCCCCTGGCATGAAATAAATGTCTTCTAGAAAACTAGGCTGTTATCTGGTTGGTGGTCATCTTCCCCAAGAGTGCTGAAGTAGTTTCCAGGAACTATTTCCAAAGTGAAGCTGGGACAGACGGATTGAGTTCAAATATACTTCCTTGTGTTAGAATCTCTAGCTTCCCTTGTTCACTACATACATACCTTGTGCCTTTGTGTATAAGTATCTGAAGCCGTGTGTCATATTTCCGTTTCAATTATCACCTCTTTGATTTTGTTATTATAATTATCTCTTTCACATCTTAAGGGGTTAGGGGTGTGGCACCCTTGAGATCTGGAAAGTCCAATTAAAATTTTTTGGCCTTCCCTTCATACTAGAGAAGTCTGGATTATTATGGTATTAAAAGAAAATATATCGATATTATATAATACTATACGTGTATTTTATGCATTTCTGAGTTTCTAAACTTTTTCTTTATTGTCTGCTGGCATTTGTGGGTTGCCTGCAACTTCCTCAAAACTCAAAAAACTGCCATTAAATTTCTTATGCCTACTGGCAACATATTGAAATAGAGATGGGTAAAGTTGAGGTGTGGAAGGCAAAACTGTATATGGAAATGCTGTTGATTTTGTGGATTTATTTTGTGGTCTGCAACTTTGCTGAAGCTATTGATATCTTTATTAGGAATAATTTTAAGATAAAAATTTCTTTTTTTAAATAACCCTTAGGATTTTTTTATTAATTTATTTTGATTTATCAACAATCACTTCCATAAGTTTTTGAGTCATAAATTTTTGTACCCCTCCCTCCCTGCTTCCCTCCCCAAGATGGCCTGCAATCTGATATAAGCTATACATATACATTCCTATTAAACATATTTTCACATTAGTGATGTAAGAAAGAATTAAAATCAATAGGAGGAACCACAAGAAAGAGAAAACAAAACAAAACAGAAGAAAAAAAGTAGAAAATAATGTGCCTCGAGATGCATTCTTTCTTTGGATGTGGATAACATTTTCCATCATGAGACCTTTGGAGATGTCTTATATTCTTGCATTGCTGAGAAGGACTAAGTCTGTCAACGTTAGTCGTTGCATAATGTGGCTGTTATACAGTTAACAGTTCTCCTGGTTCTGCTCACTTCAAGCAGCATCAGTCCATGCAGGTTAAGATAATAATTTCGAGGAAATCATCATGTCATCACAAACTAAAGATAGTTTCATCTCTTCTTCAACTGTCTTTATGCCTTTGTCTTATTGCTATTACTAGCATTAACTGTGTTATTTGGTAACACCTTTTTACTGGGAACTTTCCTAATTTCTCTCAAAAAAATTCAACAAGTCACTTCCCTCTGGGGCTCAGTTTTTTCTGTTCCTTTCCATTCCCGCTCTGCCCCTTACCAGCTGCTTGATCTGAGGCAGGTCATTCTCTGACCTTTAGTTTCCACATCTGGATGACCTCTAAAGTCCACTCTAGCTCCAAATCTAGGATCTAATTATCCCTTACATTAATTGAATAGCTCTTCCAGAGAACATCATACCACATACCCAATACCTCTCCCTTTTTTCAGCTTCTTTTTATGGTTTGTCTACCCCCATTAGATTGTAAAGTCCTTGAGGTCAGGGACTATATTTTTCATTTTTGTATTTGTATCCCCACTGCTTAGCACAGTGGTGGGCGAATGGCAGGTGCTTAATGTTTATTGACTATAGACCACAATCTCCTAGGGTTTCCCTTCCCCCATCCTCCACATGGGTTAGACTAGATATTCCTTAAAAGGTGACAAAGCCAGCACTTAATTGGCCAAGGAATGAGGCAAAGTTTGAGTTGTGCCTCCCTTGACACAACTCCCAGACATCCTTTGGCTTTACTGAGTGACTTTCTGGTCACCTAAGGATATAAATAAAAAGGCCCACTCACAAGGCACAAATACCCATCCACTCTGGTGGATTTCCCAAGATACCACATTCTTCCTCGCTGACCATATATATTTCCCTATGGAGATGATTAGGACCATGTCAGCCAAGCTAAGTTCTATGATATCCTTGTCGTGTTAGGGATCAATATCTTTTTGTTAATTGTTCAATGACGTATGAGTATCTCATTTAATCCAAACATCACATCTGAGCTAACAGACACCAGTCCTGTCTCTAATAGCCTAGGAAAGGTAGTGAAAAGAAGCTTAGTAGATTACATGCCTATATATAATTTCCAATAACAGAAATACAGAATGTGGGGAACACTGAACATTAAATCCACAAAAAAAAAGAAATTGTTTCAAGAAACAACTGATTACCAATGTGGTAATTCATTTCTGAATCAACAGTTAGACTGTCTTGTTTTGTCACAAAGTACATAAATGCAGTTAGCACAGTGGATAGAACGCCAGGTCTGGAGTCACGAAGACCCATCTTCTTAAGTTCAAATCCAGCCTCAGACACTTACTAGCTGTGTGACCCTGGGCATGTCACTTAAGCCTGCTTGTTTCAGTTTCCTCATCTATAAAATGAGCTGGAGAAGGAAATAGGAAACTCCAGTATATTTGCTAAGAAAGCACCAAATGGAATGATGAAGA